CTTTTGAAACTTTTATTACTGTTTATTCAACTCTAAAAAATTTCGAAACATTTTATCTTATCAGTATTGTAAAAAAACCTGTTTTTAGTAAAATTTTGGTGGTTAAATTGAAGAAAAATTTGGATGGTTAAAAACTGTGCGTATTTTAACACTGTGAAACTCGTCTTCAAATTGGTCACGCAGGCTGTCTATTATTTTTTCGGATTTTCATATTTCGTCATTTGCTTACACCTTGTGATTCTGCAATGACGAATCAGTTTTGCATGGATCTAAAAGTTTAATGTGACGTCTTTGGTATCACCATTTTTAAAGAACTCTCTTGATTGTTACGTACAGAGTTTGTCTATTCACGTCTCATTATCGTTTTGATACTTTTTAAAGAACATTTTAGAGCATTCTTTGGCGTTTCTTTCCGAGTTTTCAAGCTGAAGTTATTGTTCAGCGGTAGTATCCCAGAATATCTTTCTGTAATGTGACTGAAATTACTCTTGAGACAGTTGTGTAAATGCTGAAGGGGTTTTGTAGGTTTTGTATACTGAGAAAGAAAATTTTGTTTACATAATGTGTGATCAGCTTATGAAGGAATTTGAGATGAGAGACCAAAAATATTGCGGCAGGCTGTAATGTACTTCATAGAGCTATCTAATAGCAAGAACTGCTGCAGCTTTTTTGTTTTTGCTCACATAGTGGATTAGGTGACTCAGAGTTTTGTAAATGCAACCTTGAATCAATTTTCTTTGTAACAGAAGTTACAAAGAAGTGTTACAAATTTTTTGATTTTGATAATCGTTAAAGTTTCAACAGCAAAGGTGTGGGAGTTTCCACCATTACATTTGATGACACTGAGGCTCATGGTGCCTCTGATTAGTTTTCTTTTTTTCCTTTTGCCCGCTCTTTTTGGTCTGGACTTTACCCTTGTCACGTGAGCATTTTGTCGAATAAAATTTAAGAATTGTCAATCGGGAGAGTTTTAATCTCAGGTTGATGAGTATTTGTTCTAATAATATTCAATGTGTTCTCGAGTATTTTGATAAATTTACTATGTTTGCCCGAAGAACGAGTTTGCTTTTTATTGTCTCGATTAACAGTGATCGTAATTTCAGATTCCTTCAATGGTTTCAACGTAGTATTCTTAACTGTATTATTGTAAGGCACTCAAATCAATCGCTTAGCCATGGATTTCATGATATCAAGTTTTGCTAATGAACAGACAGATCCAGCTTTTGAAAGCCGGAAGTTAGCATCTTCAGTGTATCATTTATTAAATTTTCAAGCAGATTGAACTTCTCTATCATTTTATCTGGGGTTTGAACAATTACTAAATTGAAGTCCTCAGTCCACTCGCTCTTCTAAAATGGTTGTGCTTTGAACAGTTTCAATGTAGCTGAAAGAGCTTAAGGATTTGGTGCAATTTCAGCTAGCGAGGCCTGGGATTCAAAGTAGCATTACTGGGCTAGAGGGATGTGCTTAAATGGGTATTTTGTGATTTGTGCCGTTGCCCGGAGTTAAATGTTTTGTTTTTTTTCTTCTTTTTTTTCCGCGAGTTGAAGTTCAGTAAATGTAAGAATAAATTCCTTTACAGAGCTTTTTGTAAGGGAACTGATGACCACGGTTTACCACACAAGGTAAATTAAATCCGTGAAATCTGAAATTTTGATAGCTTTTTAGTTGTCTGTTCTTAGGTTTTTTGTGATATTCTAAGTATCGTATCTTCTGAACATCACTGCCAAATAAATTTTCAACAACTTTTTTTTTTGGTTATTAATGAAAGGCTATAGCTTCCCGTTTCTATTTTGTTAATTCTTCTCTTACTTAGCAAGATTTGATCATACAGTGTAGTATGCTCATTCTACCCACGACGGGTGGAAGTACGGCAGATATTCCAGGGACGTTGTAACGCTCCCGAGGGTGAACCTTTCAGTTGGCCAGTTCCACTGCTAAGCATGAAATAGATTTGTTGTGATACGGGATTGAGAATAGGAAAAATTATATGAAAGCAGTTTCAGTTGTCAATCGGGTAGATTTGCTTTGGTGCTAAAAAGTTTTTTAATTTATTTGGTAATAATCCTTTTTTTTAAGGGTATTTGTAAAGGAAAAATTATGGGAAAAGACCGCTGCGACAGTTATTGGAATGGGGATGGTTATGGAACCGAGTAATTCTAAAAATAATTGTCTTCCACCAGAAATAGAAGAGGGTAATGTAGAATACAAGGTAGTTTGGTTGTCTGCATTTTTTTGTTTACAACTTTCATTTTAAATAAAATTATTTGTTTTTACTATACTGTTCAACATTTATTGCCTCTGTTGTACGCTTGGATGATAGATCATAAAATTGGTCTGGCACAGTATACATAATTTTTGCCACAGCTATTCAAGATTTTCAAAGTAGTGTGTAAATTAAGCCATGAATACCTGGTACGAAGTTATTGTCAAACTTTTTTGTGGGATTTGGTATTTTTAAATTGAAAGGACATTAAAAATTACCAATTTGGTGTCAGCATTTGTGGCTTCCAACTTTTTTACTGTGTTTAATTATTTCAGGTAAAGTTAGTGAATCCATCGTCTAGTCGTATGCAGCATTTGATTACACAAATGAAATGGCGGCTGAGGGAAGGTCAAGGAGAAGCGATTTACGAACTGGGCGTTGAGGATGGAGGAGCTATGGCAGGTTTAACAGACAGAGAACTGGAAGCTTCAATGAAAACTATTAGAAAAATGGCCACTGCCCTCAGTGCGAGTCTTGTTGTGGTGAGTTGGTCTTAGATTTTGTATATTTTTTTTATTTCGTGGCAGATTGCTTTTGCGTTCTCTCAACTTATCAGTTTCAGCTTAGTGAACGTGAAGTAGGTTCTGCAACAGATGGTACTCTTAAGCGTTACGTTGTCGAGGTTTTAGTCAGAAAGGTCCCTGACAATCAGCAGTTTATTGAATTGAGGTACGTGATTCAAAGGTGTTGATTCATCGTCCTAAAGTGCAACTGTAATGGTAGTGCTGATATTAGGAGGGTAAAGTGAAGCACTTAGGTGTTTCGAATATATTTTTGTGCCATATTTGCAAAAGATCCACTAGTTATTTGGAATGAGTTTTCCTGTAGGAAGTTAACACTTTTCTTTGATACGATTTAAGTGTTTTATGATGTTGTCATAGTTTACGTGCTGTATTTAGAGGTCATTATATTTGCCTTAGTGTAAACGTGATTAAGCCTTCAGCAACTGTTTCTGATCCACGTCTGCTAGAGGTCCATAAAAGAGTTCTCTCACTATTTCGGCTAGTTTTCTTAGTTCTCGTCCTGTCATTTCTCTAATTGTGTTAATAACCTTTTTAGGCCAATTTGACTACTATACCAAGTAGTTGATAAGAAAATGTTTTCGAGTTTGAGTGTTAGTAATTCTCTAACTGTAGTGTGAAGATTTTTTAGATGAATGGACTGTAGCGAGAAGCTTTTACCAAATTATTCTTCATACTGAAATCGAGCGGGTGGTGCCTTAAGGGTAGTTTATTTGCTAGGGGAGTTACTGAGAAATTGAAATTGCATTTTTAAGTGGCCGCGCCGTATTCACAGCAGTCAGAAAGTCTTCAAAAAGTTTTTCAGGCGGACATGAGGAATGGACATTTTTATGCTAGTGAAGAAGAATATCGAAAACAAATAAATCGAATTTTATAATTTGATACTCGGCAAAGTTCAAAATTAAGTGCACTTTGACTTTTTATAAAGAACTTCGTGGATAATTTAATCTAAAAATTGTAGACTTTTCATTCGGTGTGGGTATTCTGTCGTACATTAAAAATTTGATTTTATTGGTTTTTTATGTGGTACGGAACATGAGGTTTACTTGTCTTTACTTACTGTAACTGGAAATTTGATTATGGTGGAAATCATTTTACTTTCACTATTTTCTTTGGCATTGTTGTTACTGTCTCGTACTGTCTATTTGTTGACCTTTTTTTAGAAAGTAGTGCTTAAAGTGTACTTAATAGTGACTGCGTGTGTTTCAGGCTGGCGTTTCTTGGTGGAGTTGGTTCAGGAAAGTCAACTCTCTGTGGCGTGCTAACGCAGGGGGTGTATGATAATGGTCATGGGAAGGTTTGTTCCGTTTTGGTCTAATTACTTTCAACTTGCAATAGCGTCTCACTAGCTGTCAACAATTTTCTACTGTCTTGTGATTTTATTTTCACTCTTTTGTTTTAGGCTCGCTTAAGTATGTTTAGATATTTACATGAACTTCAAACAGGTCGCACAAGTTCTGTTTGCCTTGATGTTATAGGATTTGATTCAAGGGGGAAGGTACATAAACATACATAAACACTTTTTTCACTAAATCGCCTTTTATCTTTGCAAACGTTTGAACAAGTATTTCTTCTACCTTTGTCTGCTCCAGTTCTGATGTTTTTTTTTAATAAACTGCCCTTTTTAAGTTGATAAATTATGCCGAACATTCGCTGGAGGAAATGGTAGAGAACTCTACTAAACTTATTACACTTATCGATTTAGCTGGTGACAGACGGTATTTGAAGACAACCATTTATGGGTTAACAGGTATTGTTGTATAGGGTTCTGTGAATAAGATTGGCTATGTCTCAGTTTTAGGTTACTATCCTCACTTTGCTGCATTGGTCATCAGTGCCGTTACCGGTCCCACTTCAGTTACGCGTGAGCATTTGGGTGTAGCAGTTGCCTTGAATATATCAGTTTTTGTTGTGGTGACTAAAACTGATGCAGTTTCAACAAGTGGACTACAAAAGTTGGTTATTTAGGTTTTGTGTTCAACCTCTTTTTTTTTCTATCCTTTCTCTAGGTTTTGTGCTGATGGGAAACTGAAAAAAAAAATGACTGAGTAGTTTCGTTCCTCTACAATATTAACTGAATTGGCAATCTCAAAGTTTTTTTGAAAACATTTCTAAATTGTACTGTTATTATTCGTAAGTCACTGTTTTTTAGTGAGGAAGTAACAGTTTTGCTTTTCAGTTGAAATTAAGTGTTTTCAGAACCCTGAAAAGTATTGAGAAGCTGCTCAAGCGTCCAGGCAGAACCCCAAGCAAAATTCGGAAAGTAAATACGCTTGAAGATGCAGTAAGGTGGTTTTTTATTTGTATTGTTTTGTCGCCCAATGCTAAAAATTTAGCTAGTGAAGTCTCTGCATGCTATCCAACAGTTTAGGAAGTGTTCTTAGATGTTTTCAGAATCTAGGGTTTTTCAAATTAAGCGTGTTTTTAGCTGTGCGTCTCTAATGATAAGCCAGGATATAGTCCCAATCATTCCGGTGTCTTGCGTCACTGGTTTGAATTTGAACTTGCTGGAAAGCTTTCTCAACGTCCTTCCAACTAGTGGCCTGTCAAAATCAAAGCAAGAAGAACTTTCCCTCGTGGCGCCATTGTTTTGTGTAGACGAGGTTTTTACTGTTCCTCACGTAAGATTGTTTGCAATATTCCTCTAGTTTTTTCTTTTCTCGCAGGAGTGATTTTTGTTGGTGCTGTAGTTTTCTTTTATTTTCTAGTAATTATTAAAGCGAGAAGTTTTTAGGTGGGCACTGTTGTTTGTGGACTCTTAACTGATGGCATGATGAGTGAAGGAGATTTGATAAAAATTGGTCCTGATCTTAAGGGCACCTACCATACGAGGAAGATTGAAAGTATACACCGGAATAAACAGCCAGTGAGGTCTATCAAGCCTGGCGAAGCAGCTTCTATAGCTATTTCTCTCACAAAGTTCTTCAGCAGTGCAGTAGAAATAAGAAAAGTATGAGTCTTATTATCTTAGTCATTTTCACTTCTTCATTCTTGTTTCTATCACCTGACGTCAACGTTTGAGACATCGTTTCTCATCTTTATATTTGTTGAGCAGCTTATTTTATAAGGGGATGGTGATGATTAATGAGAAAGATGAGGGAGTAGCTTGCCGACGATTCACAGCTCGATTTTATTTACTGTATCATAATGCTCCAGAAATCTGTCTTGGGTTCCAAGCTACAGGTTTTTGTCATTTTTGGTTCTCACGGTTCTTTTAAAAATAAGTTTACTAATTTTGATGTTATGTTTTGGTTTTAATAGTTCTTTTTCTTAAAATTCCAGTCATGCTCGGAATGACTACGGAAGATTTGCATTCATTTGTCTTCTTTCGTAATTTGCATTGATTGTAGTTTACATTGGTTCAGTATGTCAGACAGTAACAATTGTTGGTTTGGATGCTCCGTCTGTTCTTCCACTGGTATGGATTACCGCTCGATTTGAGTTTTATAAGCACCCGGAATTCGTACGTGTTGGAACTCCTCTGATTTTTCGAGAGGGCAAAACCAAGGGTATGGGAGAAGTAATCGATGTAGAAATCTTAGGAGAAAAGTAACTCGCTGTGCGAGAAAATTTCTTTATTTTGTCGATAGCTTTTTGTGCCTATCTTGGTACTTGTCAGCTCATGGGTATGTAGGACCCGGTGATAGGTTTTCTCGATTTGTTAATTTCTACGATCAACGATGGATTATGCATTTTCTTCAGTTCTGTTGCTTTTGTTCGCTGGCGAATCTTTGAATATATTTATACGTTGTTTTAACTGTAATGCATTTCCAGATGTTTCACCGCGACTTCTTAGTCTTACAAAGTCATTATTTTCTTACTTGTTTTCAGTTAATTCTCTTTGGTATTACCTTTGCTGTAGTCTTAGTCAGCCCGCAGTGACATGATCTCATTATTTGGGCAGTGATCAGGTTCATTAAGATGTTGTAAACTATTTGTTTTCAATAGTGACTTCTTGCGCAATGTTGAGTCTGATATGTTTTCTGTATTAATATTGCCTGAGATGTATAGGCCATTTGTTCTTGTAGATAAGTTTATATGAATAGAGCTGCCATTTTTAGATTGTAAATGTTGAAGTCACCTTGTAGAGTCCTCGTCTTTCGTTATCGTGATAGGACTGTATATAGATAGTGCGTTTGATTACTGTATTTGAGTAACTGACACTTGTAATTATGGTCTTACAATTTCAATCATTTATTTATTTATTTTTTTTCTGGTTTCAAAGTGGTAGCGTTTTCTGTAGTTGTTATGGGGCTTCAATAATTTCTATCTCTCTTCATGGGGGAGAGACTAGAAAATCGGGGAATGGGTTTGCATTTTTTTAATGCAATTTTGTACGTATAGACTTCAAGGCCTTTATGTAAAGTACTTTTGGGAAGATGTAAACACAGCTAGTTGCAGAAAATTAGTTTTGCATTACCTTTTTATTGGTCATTTTTTCTTTTTGATTTCAAATAAATGTAGTGAGATTGGATTATTGGCTTTTGTTAAACACTGAAAAGGAATGCTGCTGACAACTTTCTGTTTTACGTCGCGATGTCCTTGTTTTCTTGAGCATAGACTTCTTTATACCTGGAAATTGCGTAATTGTTTGCAAAAGTCTGAAGCAAAATTCATTAGAGGCATTCATAGCTGATAAAAGGTTCTGATGGCATTTTAATTAGCTGCTGGGAATTTTGCGTACTAGTCTTTAGGGTGTTATGTTAGGTGGGACGATTTGGTACTTTGTGGTTCTGACGATCTGGTTGAGTTTACTGCAAGTAATATAATTGGTGCGGGCATGATTATGGTTTCTAATGTCACTTTGATTTTCTGATGGGTCGTGAAGGTTGGCCTTTGCTGTGATAGTGCCATATATCAAAGATTGAAATAAGCGTTCTTGTCACAATATTTTCGCTTGTTGTGAAGTCAAAGGTCTTTTGGTGAATTGTCTACGTGGAGCTGTGATACATTTTTTGACCTTATCTTGCTGTATGAACGTGGAAGTGTGACAACAGTGCCATGCAGGGCTGACCGCATCTTCTAGAAGCCTTATTGAATGTGCAGGTGTGTTCGTTGTTCGAATGGCTTGTAGACTTAAGTGTTTTCAATATTAAACAGTTGCGACAGTGTGTGGCGTCTAGTAAAAATCTAATCAGAAACAAGCGTTAAAGTTCTAGGGAAAGAATTCAAAGTTGTGTGTTATTTGAAGAATTCGTTGTGCTCATTGCAACAGGTAAAGGAACTAAGAAACAGCTTTTGTTAGGATTGCCTATAGAAGTAGAGGTGGGTTTATATATCATCTGCCTTAGTTTGGTTGAGCTGTGTAACAGTTGATTGCTTAAGTTGCTTAGCGCTAATAATACTAGATAGAAGTAGCTTACTATTGCGAAACTGGAGACGTATAAATTGTACTTGGTGGGTTCTGGATTTCTTAATTTACTTCTGTCTGCCGTGGATTCATGTCAAAAAATAATTCTGACGCATCAAAGCAGTACCCATTCTATTATTTTATCTGTTGCTTATACTGTAGCATCAGAATCCTGTTGTTAAGATCTTTATATGGCGATTCTATAAGTATTTGTCAGTCAATGGTACTGCTGATAGGACCTGATGACTTTATTAAGACAAATGAGGGGAAGTGCGCCACAGTAAATGCAGACTAAAACTACTAAATCTTTCAAAATAAACACTGTAATGTTAAATAGACTTTTGAAACATTTTTATTGATGGTTTTTGTTCGGTTGAATTATTGAAGAAAAAAGTGAAGGAAAAAAAGAATGACAAAAGCAAGGACCTAATTGAAGACTACATTGGTTTGGTTAACAAATCAGAGGCTTCTTTTAAACTTGGGATAGCAACTAGATTTTTTTTGAGCCACAGTGTATTTGCCAGCACTGATTTTTTTTTACTGTCATTGATAAAATGTTTTCCTTTCGTGTTTAACATTTTGGATAACAACAGCTGAAAACAGCGATTGGATTGGTGTTAGCTGAATAACTCAGAAGTTAGCAGAGTTGAGACGATTATTAATTGCTGTATTGTCGTCGCTCGAAAATGTTAAAGATTTCAAAAAAGGTTGATAAAAAATGGAATTATTTTCTTTGCTGTTTTTCGTGCAGAAGGTCGTTGCCGGTGCAATAAAATAGTTGTCAACTGCAAATAGTAACGCCGTCGTCGTCGTCAACTTGGACATTATGCTTAGATGAACGTTTCCTTCATTACTGAAACTTTTGAATAACAAAACACATTTAAAAAAGACAAAAATTGGCAGCGAAAAGGAACAGGAGTCAATAGATTCTGAATTGATGGTTATTGCTGAGACTGTGGTCTGGCTACCATTGTGTTTGCTTTTAGTTCCAGAACTCTTTTTAAAGTGAATCTTAGTCTTTCTGAGACAGTAGTTGTAATAACGGGTCTGTTTCGAGTATTAAGACGGAAAAAGGTAGTATTTTCTTGTGGTTTTGGTTTTCTGATGAAGAAAGTAACTGAGTAAATTCCTTCTGAGTAACCACTTTAATTTTTTTCTTTTCGCCTTTTTTTTTGCGATTCTCTATTATTTCCACTAGTTATTTTTTGTTCGAGTTGATTGTACGACATTGTTAAACACTGCTTTTAACTTTTCTGATTTTAATTTAGCCGGTTTGATTTAGAATCATCTGCCGCATTAAGTGAACTGAAGGATAAACCAATTTGTGGATTAAAAACTAGGAAACCAAGCAGCAAAAAAAAAAAAAAAAAATAATAATAATAATAATAATAATTTAGGAAATTTTCTTTTTCTGCTTCTTGTCTTTTCTAATTAAATATTTTCTTTAACACTAACTTCGTCAATGAAAACCTTGTCTCTCAAATTGATACTGAAAAATTAGATGACGAATTTGCAA